CAGCGTCGAGGGTCAGCTACCAACAGGGTCCGGCCGTACTGGATGAGAATATCTTTGATCTCTTTCTTGGAAGCCTCATCAACATATTTCTGGTAATAGGCCACCAGGGCTTTGGAGATGGACTGACGGATAGCATAAATCTGGGCAACATGACCACCACCCTTCACACGGACACGGATGTCAACACCAGCAAACCGCTCCTTGCCCAGAAGCAGAACAGGCTCCAGTAACTTATATTGCAGCGTGCGCGGCTCAATCATCTCCAGGGGGTGCCCGTTCACCTTGATGAGGCCATTGCCCCGCTTGCAGTGTGCCACCGCTGTGGCTGCCTTCTCCAAATCTTTGTTTTTAATGAAGACAAATATGTAGTGTAACTCTCTTATTGTGTGTGTGTGTGTATTCTTTATGAACAGTTTCTTCCCATTTTACAATATCTATTGTTCATTTTGAGTCTTATTTACTCTTTCAACTTCTCACACTAAGGAGACAATATGCGTACACTATTTCGCTCATGAATATGGTCTTAAGTTGCATCCATTTACCTACAGAAGTCTCGGGCTGGTGAGATGGCTCAGCAGAATAAGTGCTTCCCTGGCAAGCGCGAGGGCCTGAGTTTAATCCCTGGTTCCGCAAAAAAAAAGAAGTCTCAAGTTTATCCTTATGGCTAACTGGTACTCTATTGTATAAAAAGACCACACGTTTTTATCCATTCCTTGGTTGATGGGTATTTCAGTTGTTTCCAAGACCTAGCTATTACAGACTGTACTTTCATAAACATGGGTGCACATATATCTCTGAGGTACAACATTATCATTGTGATACAATGTTTTTAACTTTCCCAGAAGGGCAATATATGAGTCAAATTGAACCTCCAGTCCTAGTTTTTTGAGGAGTCTCCATACTGATTTCCAGTGGTTCCAATAGTCTACATCCCTACCAATAGTGAAGAAGGGTTTTTTTCCCTATAGCCCCTCAAGCATTTGTTATTGGTTAATTTCTTGACAATAGCTTCATTTTCCAGAGTGAAACAGAATGTTTTAATTCGCATCTCTTTTTCTAAAAAATTTATCTCTTGAATGACCAGTGATGTTGAACAGTTTTTCATATATTTATTTGCTGTATTTCTTCACTTGAGAAATATGTATTAATCTTAGACACTCATTTTTTGGATTGGGTGTTTAATTTAGGAGGCTTTTTTTTTGAGCTATTTATTTTCAATAGTAAGCCTTTGTCTGAGAAAGGAACTGGTAAACATTTTTTTCCACATTGTGGGTTATCTCTTCACTCTGTCAGTTATTTCTCTTGCTGTGCAAAAGCTTTTTAATAAGATGAGATCCGGGGGGTTGGAGAGATAGCTCAGTAGAATAAGCACTTGCCTGGCAAGTACAGGGTTCTGAGTGCGACCTTTGGTACCACAAAAAAAAAAAAAAAATAAGATCCTATTTTTTATGATAGTTCTTATGTGATCGAGGTTTTCATTCATAAAGTCTTGCTTATACCAATGTCTTCAAGAGTTTTACCTATTCTGCCTTTCAGCAGATTTAATGTTTCTGTTTTAATATTTAGATCTTTGGCTGAGTGTGGTGGTGCATGCATGCCCAGCACTTGGCAGGCTAAGGCAGGAGGATCATTACAAGTTCGATGCCAGGCTAGGCTGGGCTGGGCCAGAAAGTGAGCTCAAGGCCAGTCTAAAATGTATAGTGAGACCTTGTCTCAAAAAGATCAATCAATCTTCAGATCTCTGATCCATTTCGAATTCAGTTTAGTGCATAGTGAAAGACATGGGTCCAATTTTTATCTTCAGCATGAGCAGAGCCAGTTTTTCTGTCACCATTTACTAGAGACGCTATCTTTATTCCAGTGTGCTTGGTACCTTTGTCAAAGAAAGAGAAGGTAGCTGAGTATGTCTGGAATTGTTTCTCAATCTTTTAATCTGTTCCACTGATTTTTGAGTCTGTTTATTTGCCAGTACCATGCTGTTTTTATCACATTAGCTTTATTTTATTTTATTTTTTTACTGTCTCTTTTGATCAGGTCTTTATTCAAAATAAGCTATCCAAACTTATGGTACTTGTAAGTCACATTAGCTTTAGAGTATAATTTCAAGTCAGGGACTAGGATGCCCATGCCTTTGTTGCTTTTTGTCCTCTAGGTCTCTTCTGGTTCCAGATGAATTTTAAGATTGTTTTCTTTAGTTCTGTGGCATATGCTATTGGAATTTTGATTAAAATTGCATTAAATCTATATAATAGTTCTACAAGTTGGCTATTTTCACTACATTGGTTCTTATTACCCAAGAGAAGAAATATCTTACATTTTCTGATATCCTCTTCAATCTCCTTTTTCTTTTTCTTTTTTTGGCAGAACCAGGGATTGAACTCGGGCCCTTGTGCTTATTCTTCTGAGCTATGTCCCCAGCCCCTCCTTTTTCAGAGTTCGGTAGTTTTCTTTTCTTTTTTTTTTTTTTTTTTTTTGAGACAGGGTCTCACTATGGAGTTCAGGATGGCTTTGAGCTCACTTTGTAGCCCAGGCTGGTCTTGAATTCACAATGATCCTCCTGCCTCAGCTTCTTGAGTTCAGGAATTACAGGCATGTGCCACCACACCCGACACTATTGTAGTTTTCAGTGTATAAACCTTTTACATTCTTCAATAGATTCTTTTTTTTTTTTTTTAGAATTTATTTATAATTTTTTTTTTTTAATTTTAACATTTATTGTGTGTGTGTATGTGTGTGACCAGCTCAGCCCACCAGGGGGCGCGGCTGGCTGGCATGTGGTGCTTGGGGACTGAACCGTGGTCCCTGTGCTTTGCCAAGCTTGTTCCAAGTAGGTGCTTTAGACCACTGAGCCATTTCTCCAGCCCAATAGATTGATTCTTAAGTAGTTCATTTTTTTGAATACTATTGTAGAAGTACTTTCTCACAGTGAGTTCATTATTTGTGTACAGGAAGGCTGTGTCTTTGTATATAGTTACACTACTGAATTTGCTTATTATATCTTGCAGCTTATTAGTGGAGTTTTTTGGGGTCTTCTATGTAGAGTATGTCACCCACAAATAATGATTATTTAACTTCTTCCTTTCTTATCATAATTCCTTTTATTTCATTTTCTTCTCTAATTGCTCTTAAAGCTTGCAGGACTATGTTGAATAAGGGTTGGGACAGTGGATATACTTGTTTTACTCCTAATTTTAGAATCAAAGCTTTCAGTTTTTGTCCATTTACCATAACATTGGCTGTTGGTTTGTCACAGACAGCTTTTATCTGATTGAGATAAAGACCATTTATTCCAATTTTCTGTAGGGCTTTTATCATGAATGGGTGTTGGACTTTGTCAAAAGGTCTTTCTGCATTTAGTGAGATGATCATATGATTTTTGTCTGTGGCTATGTTAAAAGTATATTATGTTTACCGACTTATGTATGCTGAACCATCCCTGGATCCTTGGCATGAATCCTACTCAGTCATGGTGTACAATCTTGATGATTTGTTGTATTGTTTGCCAGTATCCTTTTTTTATTTCCTCTGGTATTGGGAATCAAACTCAGGACTGCACTTGCCTGGCAGGTGCTGTGCCACTGAGCTACATCCCCAGCTCTACTAATGTCTTACTGAAATTTTTAACTCTATGTTCATTAGGGAGCGTGGCCTGTATTTCCCTTTCTTAGTTGGATCCTTCTCTGGTTTTGGTATTGGGGTAATGATTGCTTCCAGGAATGAATCTGGGATTATTGCTTCTCTTTCAGTTTTATTAAAAAGTTGAGAAGTAGTGGTGTTACATCTTTTCTAAATTTCTTGTAGAATTCAGCATCATCTGTCAGGGCCTGGGATTTCCTTTGTTGTTAGGTTTTTAATTACATCTTTGATTTCATTGATTGATGCTGTTTATTTATGGTTCTTATTTCCTGATTCAGTGTTGGTAATTCATGTGTATCTAGGAATCTGTCCACTTCTGCATCTTCCATCTTGTGATTTCATACTTTTCATTCCTAAGTGCATGCGTGGATCTGAGTCCTTTCTTTCTTTTTTTGGTTTCAGCAATCGAACTCAGGACCTGGTAGGCACTATACTGTTGAGCTATATCTGCAGTCTCTTTCTTTGTTTTGATAAGGATGGATAAGGGTTTTGATTTTATTAGATTGTTCAAAGAACCAACTCTTTGATTCATTGATTCTTTGTATTGTTTTCTTAGTTTCCAATGCATTAATTTCTGCTCTGATCTTTATAATTTCCTTCCTTGTACAAGCTTTTGGCTTGGTCTGCTCTTTTGTTCCTATAAGTTTGAGGTTTATTATTAATAATTTATTTATTTTGCGGTACCAGGGATTGAACTCAGGACCCTGTACTTGTGAGGCAAACACTTATTCTACTGAGCTATCTCGCTGGCCCCTAAATTATCTGTGCTTGCTCTGTTCCCGATAGGAGTATTCATTACTATAAATTTCCCTCTTAGGATTGATTTCATTGTCACCTAAGTTCTGGTATGTTATACTATCACTACCATTTAATGGTACAAGCCGTCTAATTTCTTTAATTTCATCTGTGACCCATTGCTTGTTTAGGAGACAGCTATTTAATTTCCATGTATTTATGAAGTTCCAGTGGTTTCTTTTGCCATGATTTCCAATTTCATCGCACTGTGGTCTGATGATATGCACGGGGTAACTTCAGTTCCTATGCATTTACTTAACCGTGGTCTAGGTGGCTCCTCGCTCTCGCACTGCTTGACTCTCTGGTCATGCACACAATCTGATCTTCTTAGTCACTGGGCAACAGCAAAGAGCGTTCCTGGAGAACAAAAGCCCAACCTGCTCCTTGTGCAGGACTGAGTTCTTCGGGATGCAGAGGGACCTAATGGGGCCCTTACGCAAGGCATACTCTCCAAACCTCCTGTGGCAAGTTCTCCCCCAAACAGGTCCCCAAAGATCACCACAGCAACATTAAACAAGGAGGAGAAGCTATTCCCCTATCAAAAGACATCAAAATAGCCAGTCATGTTGGCCCCTGTCTGCAATCCCAGCACTAAAGAGGCTGAGGCAGGACTGCTGAGTTTGAGCCCAGCTGAGGAGATACGTAGTGAGTTTAAATCTAGCCTGAACTTACAGAGATGTCAGACCCTGTCTTAAAAAACCAGCAAAAAACAAAACAAAACAACACAACACAAAAAGGTAAACAAAAATCAGAAAAATGCATCATCTAGACCACATTGGTCAACAGAACTTTCTGCAATGATGGTGGCTATTCAGTACTTGAAATGTAGCTATAGTGACTGAGACACTAAGTTTCAAGTTTTACCTAATTTGAACTAACTTAAACTTAAATTACAACAATGGCTACTGTCTACCACTGACACAACATAGGTCTTTTATCTGGTTGGCTTTTTTTTTTTCTTTTTGTGGTACCAGGGATTGAACGCAGGACCTTGGGCTTGCCAGGCAAATGCTTAATTCTACTGAGCTATCTCCTCAGCCCTATTTGATTTGTTTTTTGAGACAGGGTCTTGCTGTGTAGTTCAGGCTGGCTTCGAACTTGCAGCAAGCAATCCTCTGGCCTCACTTCCAAGTGCTGAGATTAGAGGCGTGCACCACGCTGCATGGCTCTCACAGCACAGGTCTTCAGACTTGAGTGACCTGGGAAATTTGAAAGCTGCTTTTCAGATTCTCTAATAGCTAGACTTCTCTAATAGCTTCCCCTGGAGCCGTACATTTTCTACCTATATACTTATTTTGCAGTATTAGGGATTGATTTGTTTTTTCTTTCTTTTTTGATACAGGGTTTCACTATGCAGTTCAGGCTCTCCTCAAACTCACTTTGTAGCCCTGGTTGGCCTTGAACTCACAGCAATGTCCTTTCTCAGCCCCCGGAGTGTTGGGATTACAGGCATGCACACACACCCAGGAGGACTAGTAACTGAACCCAGGGCCCACATACCCTAGGCAAGCATTCTATAACCAAGCACTCTACCCTGTCATAGCAGACCTCATACTTCTAAATACTATTTGTATGCAACTATTAGAATGGCTCCTTCAGATAGGCTGAAAGTGTCATCTTGGATGTCTTTGTTTTGTTGTCTTGAGAGCCTCATTACGCAGTTCAGACTGGCCTTGAACTCACTTTATAGCCCAGGCTGGCCTTGGAACTTGCAGCAGTCCTCCTGCCTCAGCCTCCAGAGTGCTAGGAGTATAGGTGCGCACCACCATGGCTGGATTGCATCTCGTTTATTCAGCAATGTACCCTAATTCTTAGCACAGTACACAAAGTGTAGACACAGAGTGAACAAGGGAAAGTGGCTTGCACCCAGAGTTAGAGACCTCCACTCCTCAGCACTCTACCTCAAGAGGTAACAAGTCTGCAAACAGAACCAAGAAGCGCAACTCACAACAACAATGCCTCTTCCCACTGCAATAGGCCAGCTTACCCGGGATGTCATGAAGAGGAGCTTAGTTTCCATGTCTGGTGTTAGACGACATGCTAGGAATTTTCGAGATGTTCTTGATTGAAGAAGTTGTAGGATACCTGAACCAAGTATTGAAGGGAAGAGAAAGGAGAACAGCCTGAAGATCATAAAGAATAGAAGGCAGATGGGAGCTGGAACCAGGCACTACTAACAGTGGTCTTGCTCATGGGAGAATTCTAAGAAAAGGCCACAAAAGCTCTAGTGTGGGGTTACATGAGGACATTCCAGCTAGTGTCTGCATGTCCTCCTGCAGCTAACCACATCCCAGGCACATTAATTCCTTTCTTCAGCTCACTCCCTCTACATTATTGTAGTGGGCAGCAGATGGGAAAGCTAAGGGGAAAACATGGGAAACCCTAGCCTCTCTTTCTCCTCCTGATAGCCCCACCACTAGAGCCTGTGATCGATGTGATATAGTATAACCAACTCTGGAGTCATAAAAACTATGTCTATCACTTACTAGCTGTGTAGTTTGGAGCAAATTACTTAATCTCTTTGAACTTCAGTTTATCTGTGAGTGTGGGAAGTCAAATCCCATCTTATGTTTTGAGCACTAAATGTGTTAACTCAATCCATGTTCAAACGAGTAGTGTAATCATCAGGTAGCACCAGTGCTTTCTTCTTTCCTCTGTTCCCACATGGACAACTGCATGTATACTCGTGTGCATGCACGCGCTAGAAGTGGGGAGGATACAAAGCTATGGCTACTGTCCAGATCACTGCAAAACCCTGGGAAAGGGAAAAGGACCGGAAAAACCTTGTCAGGGGAGCCACATGGAGACTTTTTCTCATAAGCAGGATTTTTTTTTCTTTTTGTATTTTAGGGAAGGGTCTATAGGGTGTTTAGGGTCTCACTACTAGATGGGACTGGTAGTGATCTCCAGCTCCCAAGAGCTGGGATTACAGGTGCGCACTACCATGCCCAGTCTCACTGCTGTCTCAGTATGCCCCTGGGGGCAGGGCTGGCACAGCCCACGGATCGAACCTCTGGCCCCTGCACCTGCTTGCAGGCAATTTAATCCACTGAGCTATTTGGCCAGCCCTATTAAGTAGGATTTAGGCTACATTGCATCCCTGGAGCTAGGACACAGGTTTGCTTCCAGGACTGAGCCATCTCTCATGTATTAATTCCAGCCCCACTGCTGACTCAGTCTCATGAGTTGACCTCTGACTCTTCCAGATCCAGACAGGCTGGACACTGGTCATGAGCTCATCTCCTGAGCCAAGAAACTACCAGGAAAGAAGAGGATGGCTCAGAGTTCTCTCTCACTTTTAGGAGAAATGACAGCTTGAGTCTGCCAGTGGGGCTGGAACCTGATGAACAGTTTAATGCCTCTGCCATTTCCATTTCCAGCAGTAGCTGGCACACCCTACTGTCTTGAGCGTCCTCTGACTGCCCAAGGCTTTCCTACTCAACCAAACTCTGTCTTCTTGATTCACTGAAGACATAAATGCTGACCTGTCACCCTTCAAGGACAGGGTATCTAGGCACTTACCTGTGAACTGAGGACTCAAGGTCTGAGGATTATGGATAATATCTTTCCAAAGCAGTTCAAATTCTGGTATCCTAGCAACATTCTGAAGTAGTCTTACGAGATCTCGGCCAATCATCAAACATTCCATAAACTTAATTGGGGGAGGAATAAGAGAGAGAGACAGGAAAGAGTAAAAACATGGATTGTTTACCTTTTGAAGGAAGTACAAAGGAACAACATGTTCTAGGGAGGGAAGGAAAGAGGGTGGAAGGGACTATACAGTTTCTTCTGGAAGCAAGGGATTGGCTCCTAGCTGTTTAGGGAACATATGAATGTGGGGCGGGGCTAATATCAAGGATGAGATCTTATTGAGAAGTGCTTTAGTCCTGATGGCTTTCACATTAATCCTCTACTCTCTCAGCCCAGAAGGTTTTGGTTCAGTTTAAGGGATATTAAAATTCCAGAATGACAAACAAAATAGTAATAATTATTAAATAAAAAAAAAATTCCAAAATGATGGGAGCAGCAAGCCAAGCCATGACACACTATCCCAAACTCATTCTGTCCAACAGAATATTTCTTGGTGACAGAAGTGATTTATTTCTGTGCAGTCCAAATAATAACCACTAGTGACATGTTGTTCATGCAACTAAAAAACTGAATTTTATTATTATTTTATTTTAGGGAAGGGTCTACAGGGTGTTTAGGGTCTCACTATTGCATCGGACTGTAGTGATCTGCCTGTTTACAGCCTCCCAAGAGCTGGGATTACAGGCGTGCAGCATGTGCACCCAGTCTCAATTGTAATCTCAGCACGCCCCGGGGGCAGGCTGGCATGGCAGGCCTAAGGATGAAACCCCTGCAAGCGTTTAATCCACTGAGCTATTTGGCTGGCCCTAAAAGAACTGAATTTTAAGTTTTATCTGATACTGATTTTAATTTAAATTACCCACTGTGACCAGGAACTACCATATTAGCATAGCTCTAGGATTATCACTCTTGGGAAGTCTGATAGCAGACAACTCCTAACGTCACTTGGCATGGCAATTATTCAGGTGGACACACTGGGGAACAATGTAGCAGTAAGCACACAAAGACAACCCATGTTCATAGTACAACAGTGTTCTCGAAATTGACCAAAGGCTGGATGTGGTGGTGCACACCTGTAACCCCAACTTTCAGGAGTCTGAGGAAGGAGGATCACCCCAAGTTTGAGGCTAGCCTGGGCTACACAGTGAGTTCAAGGCCAGCCATAACTGCACAGTGAGACTCTGTCTCAAAAAAACAAACAAACAAACAAACAAAAAAAACTGATCAGAAAAATCCCCAGGATGCCAGCACGAGAGGTACCACTCTAGGAAGTAGGGCTTCTACACTCTGATTCCCCTGCTCATCTCCTAAAGGCAATGGAAACTCCAGGCACTAGGCATCACAAGCCCAGGCACTCAAAACCTACAGGGGACTCCCATCCCAGGGCTCATTTCCCTTGCATGGTTCTGCCTTGCTCCCTCACCCGCTCCCGAAGCAGTGAGATGCAGAAGTCGACTTCCTTCTGCCGCAGGGCCTGGAGCTGGGCGGTCCCATGGTGGTCCACGATGAGGCGGAGGTACGTGTAGACAGCCATGGCAATGAGGATGCTGCTCTTCAGCACCCACTCCCTGCAGGAGAGAAGACGTCACACCTGCACCCTTCCTAGAGCCACTGCCCATCTAACCCATCTCCCTGGACGTAGCGCAGGGTCTCGCAAATGTCTGATGATCAGACACTGGGAAGAGGCTCTTTTCTATTTTTTTGCTTACTTGCTCAGGCTATATTATCTATCTCAAGCTATTAACCAGCTAGCATAACATAACTTACTAATTTTCTCTATCAGGTACCCAAAAACACAGGTGCCAAATGAAAGCAATCTTTTCTTAACCATTTAATTCCTTATCTAGCTTCTAATAAAATAACTTTGATCTAACTCATTCAAACATTTACTGATGTCCACTGTGTACCAAGCAGTGTATGAACTATTAGGGACAGAGACAAGCCATAGCCCCTCTCCTATGGGGAAAAGTATCGGAGATCAATAGTTCTAAGTGCAGTGCAAAGCCCTCTAGGAAAGGCCCAGACACTTCCAGCACCTGGAGTTCTTAGAACATACTGTGCTTGCCCTGCCATCAAACCTATCATTAGCAACCTAGCATGCCACAAACCTTTCCCTGGCTCTCTCTCCCGCTGCTGGCCCCACCCTGAGACAATGAGTCACTTGCTCTAAATCATAATCTGAAAAAAGAAAGAAAATGGCAAAGTCTACTTTCCCAGGAGTTTTATAATTTCCCTAAAGAAAACAGGGGTAATCAAAGCATTTATTCTCAGCTGCTTTAAAAGGGGACAGAAAGACAGTGGAGAGATTCCTGAGACTAATGCTACTGCCCAAAACAGGAGCAGTCTCCCTCCAGCCAGTACTTTGCAATGGCTTTGGCAGCCCTGCTGGAAGGCAAGGAACTGGAGGAAGACAACAGGGAGTTTAATTAATCCAACCAGGCAACATCCTGATTCCGGAAAAGTGTTCAAGCCACTTAATTAAAAGACTCTGGCCTTTTCCTTCCACAGAATGAAACTACTAAGCAAGGACATGAAGTGTGGGGGTGGGGGCCCTCACCTATTAGATACATTTTATCATTTTAGCCTGAAAAGCACGAGGAAGGGGAGAAGAAGAGTACTGAAGACGATGTAGTTCAAAATTCAAGGTACTCACTTTCACCAAAAATGAGTTTTCAGATGGTAGGGGAAGGGTGGGACAATTACCTGGCTACTAGTTTTCAGCTTTAATGTGTGGGGACAGGAGCTATCTGGCACCAGGAACAAAATGAGAAAAATCACATTTTTAGTCAGATTGCTAGGAAAGGTGATGACCTTATCTGGATCTTGGCACAGCATAGTGAAAAGAAACAGAAGCGAGCCCCCTGGCCCAGGACAGCACAGAACCAGAGACCTCAGAGATGTAGGCCAGCCAGGCGCTCCCGTGTAGGTGCAACAGTGCCCGGCCAGGGCAGCTGCACACGCACGGCCTCAGCACTAGGTGGCACACTGCACAGCAGACCTGGAGGGCGCTCGCCCAGGCCAGGCAGAGCACTGCACACAGCCTTGGCTTTTCTCACCCTTGTATTACAAGAAGAGACAGGGTCTCTCTATGTAATTCAGGCTGGCCTTGAACTCACAGTAATCTTCCTGCCTCAGCTTCCCAAGGCCTGCGATTATGGGCATGTACCACCACACCCAGCGAGAAAAGGTTCATTCTTTTTTTTTTTTTTTGGGGGAACCGGGGATTGAACTCAGGTCCTTGCGCTTGCCAGGGAAGCACTTATTCCACTGGGCCATCTCCCCGGCCCCAAAAGGTTCATTCTTGCAAACCGCAGATAACATGGTCACTCCATTACCTGACCACTGTGGTATTCCTACCCAAAGACTCTGAAATTAATACAAAGAATGGGGCCACAGGACCAAAAGATCTCACCCCTAAATTCAGATATGAGACAGCACTCATAAAATTTCTGGCCTTCATCTGATGATGAAGGGAAAGATTCAGCAGAAAACCCACATGAGCTCTTCCATCGCTGAAGCTGCAAGCCCTAAAATGCAGACTGGGAGGACGCACTGCGTCCCTTCCCTCCACACCCACCCTGACCCTGCGCTAGCCACAGAGCCTATGGTGCACTGAGGCTTGAAAGAAGAAGCGGTACCTGCCAGGCCTGGGTGGCTGGCTGCCCAGCCCCACTGTGCTGAGCTCATTCCCTGCCCCCAACTTCCCCCAAAGATAAACATTCCAAGGAGTTCTGGATCAAAAATAAACCTTTATCAGATGAAACAAATTTTTCCTGGGCTCTGAGATATTTTAGCAAGGACCTTCTTTCCCACTCCTTCATCCCTTGGGCCACACCACGGCATTCATTCCTCCACCTACCACTGCCACATGTCTTTCCCTCCCCTTGCCTCCTGCTCCCTAACTGAAAGTCTTTCTGGGCCAGACAATCCTTTCCTCCCCATATCCCATACTCACAGCCCTCATAGCCATATCCTGGCTCTTGCCCCACCCTTCATGGTAGACTCTACCTCTGCTCTGTCAGGATATCCAGAACACTTTCTGCCAACCAGATATTTTTGGCTGTCACATCTCCACCTGATTTTAAAGGGGGGGGGGAGAGAATCAGAATACATCAACGAGCAAATCCATCTCTTTATCTGTCCTGCTAGTCCGCCCATGTCCTAAACGCTGCATAAACTACCTTTTCTTCTGTCACAGTTTAAAGCTACCCCCTCTGCCTCCAGAGAAAGGAAGGAAATATTCTGCAGTTTTACTGAAATCAGAGCTATTTTTCCACAGCTGGGGGGAGTCAGAGTGGGAATACTCTGGCCCTAGAAAAGGAATGTCTGAGATAAGGACACATGAAACACCCACACTTTGGAAGCAAGGGTGATATCTTAAATACGGCCTGAAAAAGACAGGTGGCTGGCAATTGCTGGACTCCAGAATCTGGGGTTCTGGGTCCTGGGCGTGGGCTCACAATAGGCCATACACATCCAAACAGGGAATGAACATTATACGAAGCCCTAAAAAGAGGCAAGGTAGCGATGGCAAATGGTGAGGTCAAGCAGCTGGCTCATTTTTAAACAAAGACATGCAATTCTGAGAAAAGAGTAAGTAGTAGCTCAGGCAGGCCTCTTTCACATTTGCTGGCTCACAGTGATGTCACCAATGCCAAGATGGTAATAAAACCTAAATGTCAGGGTCTGTTCTGTAACAGCGTTTGTCACTCGGACTGGCTCCATCAAATGCCATAAATATTAAGGAGCATTTATTTAAAACATAAGGGTGGAGCCAGGGAAGATATCTACTTTTTCTGAAACATAAGGACATAGGAACATTATTTGCCCTTGTTTCTCTCCCCATACCTTTGTGATCCAGTATGCCATCAAACCTCAGAGAAGTCTGCCTAAAATACTAGCAGGAGTTGGGTTTGGCAGGAAAACAAAGCAAGGCAAGATTTACTGCTTTGAACCAGGCGTGGTGGTGCACCCCTGCAATCTCAGCACTCGGGAAGCTGATGCAGAGGTACTGCTGTGAGTTCAAGGCCAGAATGGGCTACAAGCCGAGTTCAAAGACCACCTGAACTACACAGTGGGACCCTACCTCGAAAAATAAGAAAACAAAAACAAAACAAAATTTACTGCTTTACGAGGTGGGCAAGGCAGCACTTGCCTATAATCCCAGGAATATGAGAGGCTGAGGCAGGAGGATCACGAGTTTGAGGCCAGTTTTGACAACTCAGTGAGATCCTATCTCAAAGATTTAAAAAAATATAGTAAGGACAAAAGATGTAGCTTAATGGCACAGTGCTTCCCTAGCATGTAACTGGGTTTAGTCCTCAGCACCGGAAGTGGGATGGACTTACTGCTTCAAAAGAACCCCAGCGAATTTTTAACTTCTTCCTGTAACATACGTGGCTAGATGTCCACATCAGAAGGAAAGCCAGGCAACCCAGGAACTGAGTTCCTTAGGTCTGAATCACTCTTCTCTGCCTAGACTTCAGTCTTTGGGCTCTCTTCTCCTTGATCTCTAACTCACCTGCGATCTGCTTCATGAATGTCATGCACACACCGTCGGCTCCCAGAACCCCACTCTTCACCAGTTCCCGAACCAACCACACCAACTACAGAAGAGAGGAGAGAACATGAGGGGCAGGGCTGTGAGTGTAAGCAGCCGATTCAGTCACATACAAGTCGGTACACAGTGGCGGGGTGCACTGGCCTCAAGTCCTATCTTGCTCCCTTCTCTGGGAGGATCCATTTGCACTGAGCTGGATCTTCCTTTTCTGGGGTGGTGTTGGGGATCAAACCCTGGGCCTTGTGCATACTAAGCTCATATTCTGCCCCTGAATTTTCTTTCTTTTGGCCTTACCTGAGTACGGCAGGTATCCTGCAACTTCAGGTACTTCTCCATTAATATCTGGTTGATTTTATTCAGGACAATATTCATGCCGTCACGACTCACCAGAGCCAAGTCCCGGTAACACTGCGGAAAGTGAGGTGTGTGAGTAGTCACTAAATTAAAGAGAAGGCTTCTGACTTCACCCAGAGTAGAACTCCTGCTCCTGTCTCTTAAACACCACCAAGGGAATACTAAGCAGCAGTGGAAAACATTTTCCATTCTGGACACTTCCAGAATGGACTTCTCTACCCCAAACCTACCCTTGCTCACACAGGGTGGGGAAAAAGACCAATCTCTTCTTAAACAAGGGAAGAAAATCTGCTGGGCAAATCTCCTCATCCTATCCCTGTGTCCCTGCCTCCCTTTTTAGGCAGTGTCACCCTGTTTCATGCCCTAAGCTGAGCAAAACCAGGTGGAGGACATCTGCTTTTCATCTGCCAGTAAAAGGTCACTCCGAATGAGTTTGGCTGAAGAAGTCAGAAGGAACCCAGAGGCGCTCTGACCTGCTTTGGCCCAGTATGATGCAGCAAAAGGAACACTAAGAGATGAGGGCCTTATAAAGGACACAATCAAAATAGAACTTTCTTATCCTAATGTCTCTTTGTCTCTGGGATACCTTTTGTCCCTGCCAATTATTGAAGGAAAGGTCCTTGGGGGTCCACAACCCTTGGGAGGTGAGGGAAGGCACTGCTTGTTTCCCAAGAGGCTTTCCTCACTGTTCTCTGTGTGAGACCAGACCCCTGGAGAAATACCTTAGGGGACCTCATTAGCAGCCAACCTAGCCTGCTGAGTTCTAGTCTGTCAGGGTCTCATCCAAAAGGGTAAAAATTAGGTACAACCTCCGAAGTCCAGTTGGATGGCATCCAGAGTAAAACAACAAAGAACTTTACGGATGCCTGTAATCCTAGCACTCAAGAGGCTCAGGCAGGTGGACTGATGCAAGTTTGAGGTCAACCTGGGCTACATAGTAAGTTCAAGGCCAGCCTGAACTACACAGTGAGACCTTATAAGAAAGAAAGAAAGAAAGAAAGAAAGAAAGAAAGAAAGAAAGAAAGAAGCAAGCTAGCTAAGGGTGGCCCAATGTGGTCAGCAAACTGGATAGTTAAACCTTGCAGACTCCCAGAGGTAAGCTATCAGACAGACAGACAGACAGGATGAGGGAGCAAAAGGAAAATTTGTGTCAGGCCAATGACACAGATGAAGCTTGTCTGTTCATAAGAAAGCAGAAATCTCAGAAATATACAATAGGCCCAGAACAGAGAAGGAGGACAAGTATCCTAAGAGATACAAGGTCGAATGAAGACAGGAGACAGTCCCTAATTCCAGGGTCCATCTGGGACTCTCACCAATCTTAACTGCTGGAAACACATGGCAGTGGGTACCAGGGGTATCATATTCTCGATGCTGCCAGCTGCCTTACTAACCCCTGTGTCAGCTTGTTGACTGGCTTAGGCAAGAAACAGATGACAGAAAAAACTCAGCAAGGACCAGAAAAGACACAAAAGGGTCGAAGAAAAGAAGGGTGAAGAGGCTACACATGGTGACACACACTGAGGTAGGAGGATCGTTTTAAGTTTGAGATCAGCCTGGGCTACAAAGTGAGCTCAAGACCAGCCTGAACTGCACAGAGAGACACTGTCTCAAACACACACACACACACACACACACACACACACACACACACACACACACGGGGTGGAGGGATGACAGGCAATACTGAGATAGCACATCTGTCTGGACCTAAAAGTACAGATATTCCTCAAGTAATGACCTACCTAGTCGATAGTCAATTGGACTTACAACGTGCACTGTTTAGACTTACGACCCACTGCTCGGACTTGTACAGTTCTGTGCATCGTTTATGGAGCCTTAATGTCTACCTTGTTTATGCAGAGCTGTGATCACTGCTGATTATACTGTGCAGTGCAGCACTGTAGTGTTTGTTTCATTCCAGGTGCTGTGCTGCTGAGCTATATTCCCAGCCCAGGGCTATAGTTTTATGTTCCATTATGCTTTAGACATCCGCATGTCAGAGTTATTCAAATAAACACAGTCATTAAGTTGGAGTTTCCTCTGACTATTTCTTTGTGCTGGATAATGTAATGTACTACCTACAATTCCTCGCTTAATGCCCAAGTACAGTTAATGTCACAGGAGCAGACCTCAGTGGGTAAATGAGGATGTCTGCAGTGATGGTCCAGCCTAGGCCCTCAGCACTGTATCTTTTTTCAGAGCTGTCTGCAGGATGAAACACCTATGCCAAGAATGCCTGGGCCTGGGTTGTTGACCTCTGTGAGGGAGAGACTATGTCACTTCTGTGAGGACCCTTCCAGTTACCTTGGCCTACTGACTCAAGGGTCTGCACAGATTAAAATTCAAGCTTAGCCTCCACCTCACCACATTTTCCCAGACCGGCCTGCTCCAGCTATTTATCTCAGGCACCAAATAGGAACTAAGTAACTTAAAACAAACAAACAAACAAACAAACATTCATGACAGCTGCCAAGAGGGCAGATGCAAATCAAGAAGTTACAACTGTGCCAAGCAGGATGGTGGATGCGCGGGCCAACAGAATTTTTTTTTTCCTCTTCAATCAGATTTTATTGCTACATTTTAGATGTATGTAATGATCATGTGCATCACAGAGAATTTGTGCCTGTATATGATGTAACTTTTTTTTTTTTAAACCCATTCCCCCACCTTCCCTTGAACTCCTCTCCTCCCCATATACAAAAGCTCTGTTTCTATTTTTGGGGAATAACTGAATCTTAACTCCATCTGGGGATTTAACAATTAACTCCAAATAAACCTTTAGGAAATACTTTTGCCAGGAATATAACTCAGCGATGTAGGTGCCTGCCTGAGCAAGCACAAGGTCCCAAGTTTGAGCCCCGGTACAAAAAGAAAAGAAAAAAACAAAAAAACAAAAGCAGAGCTAATCAACTGGGAATGTGTGTTAGTCTTTTCAGTGAGAAGGATCGAAGCTCTAAATGCATCACTAATTCATACACAGTCGGACCCAGCTCAAAGGTCTTCAAATGAGTTACTCCATACTCAGCTAAAATTGTGTCTTCCTAATTCCCTGAAGAGGGCTAACCTGGGTACTCAGTCTAAGAGGCTCAGAAGTAGGGATTCACTTGGAAACTTTCAGCACAGGAGCAGAAATCTTGTATAACTATCAGTCAGTTATGAGATCCAAAGTGAGGTGTTTTCCCTCCTTACAGAGCCTGGGCTGTTCTCACATGGCTGTCACAATGCAAAAAATGTGTGTTGGAGGCTTTGCTGGGTCTAGACAGCCAAACTCATGACAAAACAAGAATTTACAGTGCAAAGCCCAGTGGCCTCTCTGCCAAACAGGCAAAGAGCTGGAAATACCACACACCGGGCCCCTTCACTGAGATTTACTCGGGCTCTGGCTGATTTAGATCTAACCTGAAACAAACATTTTCTGCAGGTGAGACTAATGTGCTACAAAATGACTAAGATTTGGTTTTGATTTTGGTGTTGGGGATGGACTCAGGGCTGTACACATACTCAGCAAATGCTCTACCACTAAGTTATAGCCATAGCTCTTAAATGAGGGTTTTTTTGTTTTTGGCGGAACCAGGGATTGAACTATGGCCCTTGCACTTGCCAGGGAAGTGCTTATTCTACTGAGCTATCTCCCCCACTCTTGAATGAGATTTTAACTGTGGTATCTTAAACTCTACGTGAGAAGCCAGACTCGGTCATTCATGCCTATAATCCAGAAGTCTGGGAGGCTAAGGCAGGAGGATCACAAATTTTAGCCCAGCCTGGGCAACTCACTGTGACTCTGTCTCAAAAGGGGAAGAGACAGGATAGGCCAAATAGCTCAGTGGATTAAAACACCTGCAAGCAGGCACAGGGGCCAGGGGTTCAATCCCCAGGCCTGCTGTGCTGGCCCTGCGCCCAGGTACACTGAGATAGCGATTGAGACTGGGTGTGGTGGCGCGTGCCTGTAATCCCAGTTCTTGGGAGGTTGTAAACAGGTGGATCACTACAAGTCCAATCTAGTAGTGAGATCTTGAACACCCTATAGACCCTTCCCTAAAATAAAAAAAAAAAAAAAGGAAAATCAAAAGGAGAGTGTGTTCAGTAGAAAAGCCCTCCAGGTTCAATCTCTAGCAACACACACATACACAAAGAGAGAAAATTAAGCCCTAATCCCTACCCACTCACCGTTATCTTTGACAACAATTTATTTTTATTTTTGTTTTGTTTTTGGTACTGGGTACTGAACTCAGGACCCTGTGCTTACCAGGCAGGCACTGCTACTGCTGAGCTGTATTCCCAGTTTCAACAATTTATTTTAAATCAGTGGGATAATACTACTGTTTCATACTATCAAACTGACACTGGTTTTCAGGGATTTTTTTTTTTTTTTTTTTAATAATAATAAAATTTTATTTTTTCCAAACATACACCTGTTTGAACCTATTCATCATGCATCTTCATCAGCGGCAGGGGCATCTCCACCCTTGGTATTTTTGGTATAAATAACTTGAGCTCTGTGCTTTGAAACCAACTTGATAAGCCCTTTACTAAGGAGCTCCTGAAGGGCTGCTCTGGCCAGTGATCCACGGATCTTCCGTCTCTCAGAGACCACAGCAGGCGTTATGAGTTTATAGTTGGGAACTTCCTGACAGAGTTTGTCATCAAACAGAACCAAATTGTTGAGCTTGTCCCGAACTTTGCCTTTGGACCACTTCTTCTTTTTGGCCTTGCCCCCAGATTTGTTCACTGGGTCTTTGTCTTTCTTGGCCGACTTTCTGGCATCTTTTTTCTTCTTGTTGTCTTTGGGCGGCATCGCGGAGCCCAGAGAGCAGCGGCAACCACCGCAGGCCCGTCAAGATGTCGGACAGAAAGGTTTTCAGGGATCTTGACCATTTATTCAGTGTAAAGATAAAAGCAACTTACTTGACAAATTCCCAATTGTGTGGGCTCTCTTTGAAAAACCAAGATTTGTGAGTATTTGCTGTCCCACCACCCTCCTTCCCCTCAAACTTATCCCAGCTGGTACCAGAGAAATTGAAACACACTGGGTTCCCGTGCCCATAAATCCTGCCCCAGAGGTTAATTCGAGTACTGCAGCTACGAGAGAGGATCAGAGGGTTTCAAGGGTCCTGACCTTATAGCTGGGAATGAGCTTCTTTGGGTTTTCCCTGGACAAACAAGGACATCTCTCACCTCCAAATTACCTCATAGGTAAACTGAGAGTAGTTGGGGTGGGGAGGCCATCAAATGCATATCATGTTGGGGGATTAAATAAGATTTCTTCCACATACAGCACGATAGATTACTAGGCACAGAGCACAGCTACCTCTTTGCATACTCCCTTTATTCAGGGAAAACACTGAGCGTTCCCAACTCAGAGCTCTTCTTTTGTTCTGTCATTTATTTGAAGCCAGATTCCAGACACAAATGTTAAATCACCCTGGCAACACACGAAGGACACAGAACTTAATTTTACTACATTTTTACAAAAAAATTTCAGAGACCATCCTGTCTACTGCCTCACTTCCAGGAAAGACCCACTTAAGACCATTCCGGTCTCTTCGGTGTGTAAGAACTGTAGCAGGTTTCTGGCCAGGCAGACTCCAATATTCTCTTAATCTCTTCTACTGTAACAACTGCATCTAATCTTAATGTACCTGCTGCAATTTTAAGCCTGCTTTCTATTATTCACCTGCCAGCGGCAGAACCTACAAAGCAGAGGTCATGTTCTTTGGGAAAAAAGCACTCACAGCCCTGGTACAGCTGTTCTTTCCCTCACCTCATATACCCAAAACTTAAATCTGCAAGCACTTTTTCACTTTCACAGCTGCCTTTACTTACCTTTTAGCTCCAGAATCTGAGGATAGAAAAGACTTTAGCCACAGTTAATCAGTTCATAGACAGTAAAATGGGAGTTAAAATTACATTTGGAGAATATGATTCGGTCTGACAAGGACTCTAGTTAATGGTAAGTCGCACCACGTTCCCAGATCCCATCTGAGGAGCTTGTGGGTCCACAGCAGGTGTCTCACCTTCTGGGCTTGGGCAGGTTCAGTGAGGACAAGAGTGAAGAGGCCTAGGCAGACTTCCTCGTGCTGAGGGGGGCCTTTGCATACCTGGAATGAGAGAGGGAAAGAAACTAGTTGTTTTAAGTAGTAAATTAAAGCAGCTTCTCCCAGAAAAATGGTACTCCTAACATGCAATGGGACACACGCAATGTTTCCTTCCTTTTTTCCTTTACTTGTGCTCTGGGGTACTCAGTATCCCAGTACCTCACGTATGCTAGGATAGCCGTCAGTGCCTCACAGATGCTTGGATAGTTATCCACAAAAGTTACACTCTTAATCTTACCCAAAAGTCAACTCTTAATCTTTTTTTTTTTTTTCTCCTTTATTTTTTTTTTTAAACATTTATTTATTTATTGTGTGTGTGTGTGTGTGGCCAGCTCAGCCCACCAGGGGGTGAGGCTGGCTGGCATGTGGTGCTGGGGGATCAAACCATGGTCCCTGTGCTTTGCCAAGCTTGTTCCATGTAGGTGCTTTAGACCACTGAGCCATCTCGCCAGCCCCTCAACTCTTAATCTTTACGGTTTTTTGAGACAGGGTCTCAATGTCTCATTGTGTAGTTCAAGCTGGTCTTAAACTCACTATGTTGTCAAGGCTGGCCTTAAATTTGTAGCAATCATCCTACCTCAGCCTTCGAAGTACAGGGACTATGGGTATGCACCCTACACTCACAAACTCTTAAATTTTTATGATTCTACTGGGGATATAGCTCAGTGGCACATCACCTGCCTGGCAAGTTCCACTCTTGTGGGGGGGGGGGAAGAAGAGGAGGAGGAGGAGGAGAGCAAAAAGAGGAAGAAGAGAAGAGAAGAAGAGGAAATCTTGATAATTTCCTTCTTTTAAAAGACAACAAAAAGAGATGATGGGAGAGTTGGGCACGGTGCACAGGTGATGTTCATATGTAATTAAAGTTACCTAGGAAGCTGAGGCAGGAGTATCACAAGTTCCAGGCTAGCCTGGGCAACTCAGGAAGACTTTGTCTCAAAAAACAAAAGATGGAGCCAGTCAGATAGCTCAGCAGATTAAAGTGTCTATTTAGGCAGACACAGGGACTGGGGTTCTATCCCTGGTGTGCTGTGATGGTGTGCTGTGTCAGCCTCACCCCCCAGGGCACACTGAGATGGTGACTAAGACTGGGCGTGGTGGTGCGTGCCTGTAATCCTGGTGCTTGGGAGACTGAACACAGAAGGATCACTAAGAGTCCAATCTGTGTAGTGAGACCCTGTAGACCCTGTACTACATAAAAATAAAAAGGGCTATTGGATACATATAGGCCCTAGGTTCAATCCTCAGTATCACCAAAAAAAAGAAAAGAGAGATAATATACTTGGTGTAAGACAAAGCTGGAAGAGCAAAAGAACCTCTTGTTGATTTTTACATTTTCATATTTACTTGAATTTATATTCACAGAATTTATACTGTTTCTGATAGAAAAACCAAAATTTTAAAAAAACACTCCTCCGTGTTCTATCAGACCTCAATAGCCATTCATAGACAGGAAGGTGAAAAGAGCCAATCATGAAATAATAAGCATACCTGTCAAGCTATTATTGTGGGCCAGGCACTCAATCTCTAAAGCTTCTAAAGTGAAGACAGAATAAGAATAACATTGTAGGGCTGGGGCTACAGCTCAAGGGCACAGCACCTGCCTGGCAAGTGTAAGGTCCTGAGTTCGATTCCCAGTACCAAAAAAAGAGTAACATATAGTAATAAGCAGATAATACTCTGAACAATTACTCCTTTACATGTAGTATTTAAAAATCATTTCAGGGCTGGTGAGATGGCTCAGTGGTCTAAAGCACCTACTTAGAACAAGCTTAGCAGGGCTGGAGAGATGGCTCAGTGGTCTAAAGCACCTACTTAGAACAAGCTTAGCAGGGCTGGAGAGATGGCTCAGTGGTCTAAAGCACCTACTTAGAACAAGCTTAGCAAAGCACAGGGACCGCAGTTCGATCCCCCAGCACCACATGCCAGCCAGCCCCGCCCCCTGGTGGGCTGAGCTGGCCACACACACACAAATAACAAATAAAATAAATAAATAGTCTTCAAAAACTGTGTGATAATAAATTTCTAAAAAAAATAAATAAATAAATAAAATAAAATAAAATTAAATTTAAAAAAAAAATCATTTCACCTAAACAGGTTGATGGAAATAAAAGTTAAAATATATGACAAAGAAAAAAACTACTACCAAACTGAGTTGTTTTAAAGTTGTCTACACAGAAAAAAAGGAAGAGTGGGGAGACCTGGACCAGGGAGGCAAGATATGACCATCACCCCCCAGTTCCCATCTTTCTAGGTGTAGCATGGAGATTTCCCAAACATAGAAACAGACATGATGAGAGTGACACTTACGTAGGCATTGAGGGCATCATTGGCTTCTCTTTCAGAGACACCAGTCGTCATCGATGTTACAATGCTCATACACCTTTCCAGCTTCTGGACAAGAGCGAGAACAGAGTGTGTTATAACACAACTTAGGAAGTACATGTTTCTGGAAAAAAATGCAAACCTATGTCTCTAGTTCTGTCTTAAAAAAGAATAGCTCTTTCTTGTAGAATACCAACTAATCAATGTAAGCAGGCTGTGTGTGGTACCGCATTTATAGTTCTTGGGAGGCTGAGGAAGGAGGTCTGCTGTGTTTGAGGCTAGCCTGGGCTACACAGCGAATCCAAGGCCAGACTGGACCGCATAGTGGGAAAACCTCCAGGAAGAAACTATTCAAAAAGAAAGCAACCCTAGGATGTGGGAAAAGGAGGAAAGGAAAAGACAGGCAAGCAAATCAACAGCTCTGATTGGATCACCACACTCCAAGAGATTTAACCCTAAACCGTGGCTCTCAACACTGCCTCTAAAGACTTCAACCACACTTTGATTTTATTTATTTATGTGTGTGTGTGTGGCCAGCTCAGCCCACCAGGGGGCGGGGCTGGCTGGCATGTGGTGCTGGGGGATTGAACCGCGGTCTCTGTACTTTGCTTGGCTTAGCTTGTTCTGAGTAGGTGCTTTAGACCACTGAGCCATCTCACCAGCCCCTCAACCACACTTTGGATGGTAGAATCAGTAACTGTAGTCAACTGCATGGGCAGGAAGTTTGAAATAAACTGGGAATTACAAGGGGGAGGAAAGGAACTGAGGTAATAGCACTGAAAATGTGCAATATGCAATGTATTAACCACGGTTACTCTATTATCTTGTTGTAAAACTTTTTTTTTCGTGGAACCGAGGATTGAACTCAGGCACTCATGCTTGCCAGGCAAGTGCTTATTCTACTGAGCCATCTCTCCAACCCACTTTTTCTCTTAAAAAAAAAAAGAAACAGAGGGGCTGGAGAGATGGCTCAGTAGAATAAGTGCTTCCCTACCAAGCGCAAGGGTCTGAGTTCAATCCCTGGTTCTACCAAAAAAAAAAAAAAAAAAAAAAAAGAAACACTGTCATTTATAGTAACATGGATAGAACTAAAGGACATTATGTTAAGAAAAAGTAAGCCAGACACAGAAAGTCAGGTATGGAGGGAGGGGAACAGAAAAAGAATTAGAATGTGCTATGCACATGTGCCAATTCACCATGATGAATGTAATCATTATGTACTACAAACAGGTACTAATAAAAATAAAAGACAAATACCACATGTTCTTTCATATGTGAAAACTAAAAACAATGGAACTGTATCTAGAATAGGGCTAGCAGAGGTTGTGGGAGTAAAGGGAGGCTGGTTTTGATAAGTATGCATGTACAGAAATATTATACTGAACCCCACTGATATGTATGATTAAGTGTTAATAGTTTTTTATCTTAATATATACTTTTATTCAATTTTTAAAATTATTTTATTGAGAAACAAAGAGTAATGAGACAGTTTCAAAACAGGTTAGTGGGCTGGAGAGATGGCTCAGTGGCCTAAAGCACCTACTTAGAACAAACTTAGCAAAGCACAGGGATCGCGGTTCAATCCCCCAGCACCACATGCCAGCCAGCCCCACCCCCTGGTGAGCTGAGCTGGCCACACACACACACACTAAATTAAAAAACGTAAAAAAAAAAAAAAAACAGGTTAGTAGGACAGTTACATTAATACATTGTATATTGTTGTCTTCAGAGTTATTCATAGTACAAGATGCAGACATGATATCCTGTCCAAACACTATTAGTACAAATCTTAATTCTCATTAAGATAAAATAGCTGTATATCTCTCCTATTTCGTGATTTCATGTATACAGATACAAAATGGTCCTTCATTTATATCCCCTTTATTCATTAAGTTTTGTCAGAGATGGGTATTCCATTGCCATTTAAATATTGTAGGTGTGTGAATTCAGCAAAATAATCCAATATAGTCCAGTAGTCGTAGTGGGTTATCCATAGGACTGTGCAGACCTCAAAAGGCATCTCTGAAATTGCTGGGCTCCAGACCTTGTTCCCTGTTCTAGCTGTGCTTTCTACCACGCTTTCTCTTTTTTTTTTTTTCCCCATAATTTTAATCAGAAACAAATAGCAATGAGATAGTTTCAAATCAAATTAGTAGGACAGTTTCAATAATTAACACATTGCATACTGTCTTCCTAGTGGTGGCTGTACCGGATGCAGACATGATAACCTATTTACAAACACTATTAGAACAAATCCCTCTATTCAGTGAATTAAGAGAATGTAACTGTATATCTATCCTAACCATTTTGAATACACAGATACAAAATGGTCATTTATCTGTATCCTTTTTGTTTAGTTTCGTCATATAAATATTATAGATGTGTGAACTCAGCAAAATATTCCAAAATAGTCCAGTAGTCCATAATAGTACTGGGTCTTCTGCATGACTGGCAACATCAGAATAAGTGTTAATGTTTGTGGGTTGTTTTGGTTTTTTTGAAACAGGGCCTCATTATGTCTTCTCATCTTTTTTTTACAATTAATTTTTTTGAGGGGCCAGGGAAATAGCTCAGTAGAATAAACACTTGCCTGGCAAGCGCAAGGGCCTGAGTTCAATCCCCGGTTCCGCAAAACAAAACAACAACAACAAAATTAATTTTTTTGGTACAGAGTCTCACTATGCAGTCCAGACTCATAGTGATCCTCCTGTATCAGTCTCCCCAGCACTGGGAACCCAAGTGTGCGCCACCATGCCTGGTTTTGGAGGCTGGTACAGAGCACCTGACATCTGGAGGCCGGCATGGCATGTAGTTCTGGGCACCAAACTAGTGTCCTTGTGCTTGCCAGGCAGGCACTTAGACCACTGAGCTGTCTCCCCAGCCTTCATTACGTGTTCTAGGCTAGCCCTGAACTCACTGTGTAGACCAGGCTAGCCTCGAACTCGCAATCTTTCTGCCTCAGTCTCCTGAGTGCTAGGATTACAGGTGCACGATACCACGTCTAGCTAGTAAAATATTTCTAAAACATCCTGCTTGCTGGGCATGGTGGTGCACACCTCTAATTCTAACCTCAGAAAGCTGAGATAGGAAGATGACTTTCACTCAAGGGTAGCCTAGTTTATACAAGACCTTCTCTTAGAAAACCAGATGAAAAAAACCCTACAATCCTAGCACTTGAGGGGCCAGGGAGATAGCTCAACAGAATAAGTGCTTGCCTGGCAAGCATAAGGGCCTGAGTTCAATCCCCGGTTCTGCCCAAACCCCCCCCCCCAAAAAAAAACCTAGTGCTTGAGAAGCTGAGGCAGGAAGATGGTTGTGAATTTAAGGTCAGTACAGACGATACAGTGAGTTGAAGGCCAGCCTGAAATGCACAGTATGACCCTGTCTTAAAAAAAAAAAAAAAAAAAATAGAATAATCAAAATCATTTTGATTGGGAAATGGGAAGAAAGTGTTCAAATGAGAAGGGGAACACAGAAAGGGGGAAAGGAAAGAGGGTTAGGAAAAAATAGAAGGAAAAAAATGGAAACAAAGCTTTTGTAAATAAAAGGGAGGAAAAGGGCTGAACGGAGGAGGGGAAAAGGAAAAAAGCAAAATATATCATGTACAAGTACAAATTCACTATGATGACTGCTACTATGTATATCTAAAATGTATTAATAAAATTTAAAAAGTGCAAAAACAGCAATTTGAATACTAAATACTGATTACACTAAGAAGTTTTATTTTGGCAGAGTATGGCAAAATTAAGACGTAAAAGGAAAAAGCAGTAGTAATAAAGGAAAAGGCAAGCAGAAAGATGAGACCACGGATGGGTAGCATGGAGCACACTTGTAATCCCAGCACTTGGGAAGCTGAAACAGGAACATTGCCTTGAGTTCAAGATGAGCCTGGGCTACACGGCGAGTTTAAGGCCAGGCTGGGCTACATAGAAAGAACCCAAGAAACAAAACCACCACAAAAGGGGCAGGGGAGGTTGAAGAAAGAAAAAGGACAAGCAAAAGGCCAAAGTAAAACATGCCGGGCTGGGGAAAGAGTTCAGCAGTCTAAGTGCCTGCCTGGAAAGCACTAAAAAAAAACAAAACAAAAAACAAAGTTTCCATTATTTCTGGGCTGGGGAGATGGCTCAGTGGAATAAGAGCTTCCCTGGCAAGCGCAAGGGCCTGAGTTCAATCACCAGTTCTGAAAAAAAAAAAAAAAAAAAGTGTATGTCATACTAAGCCAGATAGCCCTTCCATTATCAACACCTAAATTGCTTCTTGAATCTTTTAAAACTTTATCAGGGG